GGGGCAGTAGTATGGGGGCAGTAGTATGGTACGGGGACAGTAGTACGGGGACAGTAGTATGGGGGCAGTAGTATGGGGCAGTAGTATGGTACGGGGGCAGTAGTACGGGGACAGTAGTACGGGGGCAGTAGTACGGGGACAGTAGTACAGTACGGGGCCGTGAGTACAGGGACAGTAGTACAGTACGGGGCAGTAGTACGGGGCACGGGGGCAGTAGTACGGGGACAGTAGTACGGGGCAGTAGTACAGGGACAGTAGTATGGGGGGCAGTAGGTACGGGGGCAGTAGTACAGGGACAGTAGTACGGGGCAGTAGTACGGGGACAGTAGTACGGGGCAGTAGTACGACGGGGCAGTAGTACGGGGACATTAGTACGGGGGCAGTAGTACGGGGACAATAGTAGTGGGGGGCCGTAGTACGGGGACAGTAGTACAGTACGGGGGCAGTAGTACGGGGCAGTAGTACGAGGGCAGTAGTACGGGGACATTAGTACGGGGGCAGTAGTACAGGGACAATAGTATGGGGGCAGTAGTACGGGGCAGTAGTACAGGGACATTAGTACGGTACGGGGGCAGTAGTATGGTACGGGGGCAGTAGTACGGGGGCAGTAGTATGGTATGGGGGCAGTAGTACGGGGACATTAGTACGGTACGGGGCAGTAGTATGGTACGGGGACAATAGTATGGGGGCAGTAGTACGGGGCAGTAGTACGGGGACAGTAGTATGGGGGCAGTAGTACAGGGACCGTAGTACGGTACGGGCAGTAGTACGGGGGCAGTAGTACGGTATGGGAGCAGTAGTACGGGGACATTAGTACGGTATGGGGGCAGTAGTATGGTACGGGGGCAGTAGTACGGGGGACAGTAGTACGGTACGGGGGCAGTAATACGGGGGCAGTAGTATGGGGCAGTAGTACGGTACGGGGGCAGTAGTACGGGGACAGTAGTACGGTACGGGGGCAGTAGTACGGTAGGGGGCAGTAGTACAGGGGGCAGTAGTACAGGGCGGGGGCAGTAGGTACGGGGGCAGTAGTACGGGGACATTAGTACAGTACGGGGACAGTAGTACAGTACGGGGGCAGTAGTACGGGGACATTAGTACGGGGGCAGTAGTACGGGGACATAAGTACGGTACGGGGGCAGTAGTACGGTACGGGCAGTAGTACGGGGGCAGTAGTACGGTACGGGGGCAGTAGTACGAGGGCAGTAGTATGGGGCAGTAGTACGGCACGGGGGCAGTAGTACGGGGACAGTAGTACGGTACGGGGGCAGTAATACGGGGGCAGTAGTACGGGGGCAGTAGTATGGGGGCAGTAGTACGGGGGCAGTAGTATGGGGCAGTAGTACGGCACGGGGGCAGTAGTACGGGGGCAGTAGTACGGTACGGGGGCAGTAGTACGGTACGGGGGCAGTAGTACGGGGACATTAGTATGGGGCAGTAGTACGGGGGCAGTAGTACGGTACGGGGCAGTAGTACAGGGGCAGTAGTACAGGGGCAGTAGTACGGTACGGGGCAGTAGTACAGTACGGGGGCAGTAGTACAGTACGGGGGCAGTAGTACGGGAGCAGTAGTACGGTACGGGGGCAGTAGTACGGGGACATTAGTACGGGGCAGTAGTACGGGGACATTAGTACGGGGACATTAGTATGGGGCAGTAGTACGGGGGCAGTAGTACGGGGACATTAGTACGGGGACATTAGTACGGTACGGGGCAGTAGTACGGGGACATTAGTACGGGGGACATTAGTACGGGGACATTAGTATGGGGCAGTAGTACGGGGGCAGTAGTACGGGGCAGTAGTACGGTACGGGGACATTAGTACGGGGACATTAGTATGGGGCAGTAGTACGGGGGCAGTAGTACGGGGACATTAGTATGGGGCAGTAGTACGGGGGCAGTAGTACGGGGACATTAGTACGGGGACATTAGTACGGGGGCAGTAGTACGGCACGGGGGCAGTAGTACGGGGACATTAGTATGGGGCAGTAGTACGGGGGCAGTAGTACGGTACGGGGACATTAGTACGGGGACATTAGTATGGGGCAGTAGTACGGGGGCAGTAGTACGGGGACATTAGTACGGGGGCAGTAGTACGGCACGGGGGCAGTAGTACGGTACGGGGCAGTAGTACGGGGGCAGTAGTACGGGGACATTAGTACGGGGGGGCAGTAGTACGGGGGCAGTAGTACGGCACGGGGGCAGTAGTACAGGGGCAGTAGTACGGGGGCAGTAGTACGGTACGGGGCAGTAGTACGGGAGCAGTAGTATGGTACGGGGTAGTAGTACGGGGACATTAGTACGGGGGCAGTAGTACGGTACGGGGCAGTAGTACGGGGACAGTAGTACAGTACGGGGCAGTAGTACGGGGGCAGTAGTACGGTACGGGGGGCAGTAGTACGGGGACAGTAGTACAGTACGGGGCAGTAGTACGGGGACAGTAGTACGGGGGCAGTAGTACGGGGGACAGTAGTACGAGGGCAGTATACGGGGGCAGTAGTA